GTATCAAAATGTCGTCTTGAAAAAAAAAATCGATTAAATTCTTCTTGTTAAATGGAGTGGAGGTTACCTTCCATTTCTTGTTAAGAAGAGCAAATGAAAAGAAGAAACCATTATCTGTCACAAGTTGCAGTTTATAGTGAATTAGTGAGCAAGAACCTATGAACGTCCATAATGGATGTTACATCACAGTTTTAAATCAATCAAATCCACATCAAAGCAGTTGACAGTTTATTTGAAGTTTGCTCTTGATTCCTATTTTATTCTCTAGTCTTATGCTGATCCAAGTTGAATATCTAGGCCTATTTGCTTCAACTTTCCTAATGGTCCCCCAAAGAATTATGACAAAAACAATCTTAAAGTAGAGTGAAAATGGAGTTAGATTTCATGCACGTTTCCTACTTACCTATTGAAATCATAGTTTTAAATCAATCAAAATAAATCACGAATCCAGAACTAAGTTTCCTCTTCCTCCAAAGTAGTCTAAAACATTAGTGAACCTTCAGATCATGCTCGGTATAAATACCAACAAGATTTTTAGTTTTGTTTTCTTCTTTAATACAGTGCACATCTCTACTGTCCTTAACAAACAACCCATTTTTTTTATGAAGCATTGATAACTCCAAGGAATGAGAATGATTTTCCAGGGAAAAGTCTGGTTATTATGGGAAGATTTCAACAAGAGTTGCGAACTTGCTTTATAATTGCTTCCTTGGTTTCTAAATTTTGACTCCAAGGAATTGGAATGCTACCACAGTGCTTCTGTGTAACAAACACTTTCTAAAGCATCCAAAACCATATTAGTTAACTCTCTTGTAAAAAGAAAAAACAAACAAAACCGAAAGATCTGTACAAGTTCGAGAAATTGGCATGTTAGTAAACTTCAGGTGCCTGTATATTGGCTACTGGTCCTGTGCTCATTGAATTCATTACTTTATAGGTATAACGTGTTAGAAACTATGAAGTCGAATGAGATTGAGACAGGAACACCAGAAGAAACTTCTGAAATTAAAAAAAAAAAAAAAATGTTTACAAACAGCCGAAAGTTAATTTGAACGTTGCTTCTGATTTTCTATTTTATTCTTTTGTCTTGCGCTGTTCTAAGTTGAATATTTGTCCAGTGAGTTGACTTGGCATACTTTAGTCTAAGGCAGCTATTCAAATATTGAACATGGAATTTAACTGCAAGATTTCTTCAGCAATATAAAAATCTTTCTTTTCGGAAACATTAGGCCTAATTGCTTCAACTTTTCAACGGTCCCTCAAAATGAATTATGGCACAAAAAATCTAAAGTTGTTCCCTTCTACGAAATATACCAAATTAAACACTTTCTCAATTTCTATCTTTCTCTTCTACCATGAGAAGGAAGATGAAGCTTGAAGCAGTCAAATACAGGGTGGTTGATGTTTTCTTATATAAGAATGCTAGTTGTAGGAAAGATATGGATTTCTTTATTGATAATATCAGCTTTTAGGTTCTGTGTTGAAATGTTGTTCAACATTCAAGAAAAAATGAAATGGTATAAATAAATATGAAGAAAAAACCTAAAAAAGGTATTAGAGGTAAAACCTTTTTCTATGTTGTCGCATAGATTTATACTATACAGTCGCATGGCCTATTGCTGGGAATTCTCGAGCCTCTTTGGGTTGTTCTATGCGATCGCGTAGATTTATACTATGTAGTCACATAGGTATATAAAATTGACCATTGGAGGTCAGTTTTCTACCGTTACAACTCCTAATTGTGGTTGCTTTTCAACCTATCTCGGCACCAATTCATGCACATTAGTGGTGGCCTATATATAGGTGATGCATTTCAAGCCAAAAATAAATGAGAAATATTTGTGATCCATATTCATTCCATATCAAAGATCAAATTCTTGATTCACATTCATGCTCTTTTCTTCATTGTGTTATTAAAATTTTAGAGGGCCGCACTTGTGCTTTAGTGCTAGATCCTTTACAAGGCTTGATATAATCTTACGAACGTTTGCCAAAATCCTTAAACATCTCAATCAATCTCAAGAGGAGACAAATATAGTTTGAGGATAATGATTACGCATTCGAGCCTTCGATCTTATTCTTATCAAGTTTCTGGTGTTAATTATTTTTGTTGTTGCATTATTGTGATATTATTCTTATCTCTACTCCATTTCTCCTCCATATTTTCCAACATTCTATATTTTTTTGAAATACCATTTTTAATGCTACACTTATAGCTTTATAAGGATGATATTTCTTTGGTTCGTTGAGCATTCTATGAAGGTAAGGTAGTAATCATGAGGCAAGAATAGACATCGATAAGTTACTCCAGATCTATCTTGGTTTAGGTTGATGATCTAACAGTAATCTTTTCATATGTTTTTCCGCCATTTTTCACGAAGAACTGTAATTACAAAAAGATAAAGAGCAAACTCAAAAACTCTATATCTGCCCTTAAATTGCATGAATCCAACTTTCTCATTGCTGAATTTTAATTACTCCGGTGGCTTTTTTGGACTAATACATCATACTTAATGTTTGTCATACTTTCCCGCGTAGATTCGTTCCCCTGCTGCAGTTCTTGAGTATATGTTGACAGTAAGCATCTTTTTTGCTAAAAAAATTCTTCATTATGCTTATGGCTGGCTCTTACCAAAGAAAATTACCCGATAATTTAGGTAAAGATTCCATAATACTTCCATTACATATTTGAGAATATTGAATTAGATTTTCCTCTGATTGGGGTAACAATGCCAATTGCCACATGATCAGTAGATTCTGGTTCATTTCACATTTGCCTTTATTAATAGAAATTCCCAAAAATGCTTAATTTAAACAAAGACAATCTATTATTGAATTTCAATCACTCAAAGATATAATTACAGTTCACAAGACCAAAAAAAAAAAAAAAGTGCAAAAGCAAACAATACACACTTATAAAAATAATTCTTCCAATCTGTCCTCAGAATTTCCTAAAGGTTTTCCAAAGTGTCTCAAACTGATTCACACATAATACAAAATTCCAAAACAAATTTTGAAAGAACCAAGGAATTGATTCTAAATGCAAATACAAGTGAACCCTAAAAGCAACTTAGAACTGAAAAGAAGAAGCCAAAACTGATTTTAAATGCACTGTGCATACATTAAAAAGAAGAGCAGTGCTTAATCACTCACACATCTTAAAACTTCTTAAACGGAAACTGTCGAAATTCTGGGTGTACCATCAATTGAAGAAGTGATCTGTGCTGTTGAGCAATAATTTGGAACCCACCAAACTCTGAGACTTTTGTCAAGGCTTCCACTATAGAGCATGAATCCACCCCCTACTCTGGTTGGAGATGCCTGCAAACATTTAACTGGTCCTTCATGGCCTTTAATGATCATAGTTCTAAATAAACTACCATTGATCTCTCTTTTCCATATACTAATACTTTTATCTGCTGATCCACTGCACAAGAACTCCCCCATTAGGCACATACACAAAACTGCCATTTTATGAGCTTTCATCTCACAAATTACTCTCCAACTATCGAAATTCCTGTTCCCCAACCATCCCATAATATAACCATCCGAACCCCCTCCATAAACCAAACTTCCATCTTCAGATACAACTATAGAATTCAGTGAAATATCCCTATGCCCCTCCAATATTCCCTTAAGAGAATGCGTGTTCCTCACCTCCTTTCCCCAGGCCTTGATCTTCCCATCTGCTGATGCAGAATACACAATCCCATTGGATGCAACTAGCCCGTTTATAGCGTCATCATGGGCTTTTATTGATTCCAAGCACTTGAAATCCGACATCCTCCAAACCTTGAGAGTCTTATCCCATGATCCGGAATAAATTAACCCGTTGGAGACAGCCAAGCAAGAAATACTATCAGAATGTTCGATCCACAAACGCTTGTGATGTCGCCTCGTTTGCACGTAATTGCTTTGCTTCATGAACTTTCCCAAATAGTCTTTAGTTGTGGGAAGAGTGTCAACAAGTCTGAACAAATTTTCAGAGTTTCTTGAAATCTTCCACACTCTAATTCTACTATCTTGATGTGCTGTAAACACTTTGTTCCCAGCAGTGACGAGGGCCTTAACCGAGCCCTCTCCTTGTCCAAACTTTGTGAATTGCCTCAAGTCAGGCTGTTGCCAGACTATGATGTCCTTTCCCTGTGAAGCACTTAATATAAATTCTCCACATAAAGCCAAGCAAGAAACTGATCCAATGTGACCTGATAAATTTGCTAACAGTTTATATGAGTGAAAACTCGATGCGGGCACGTTCAGAATCTTGAATTTAAGATCTTGAAAGTCATATCTAAACGATGTCGCTGGACTTTCATCCGTGTCACTGCTTCTTCCGCTGCTGCTACTGCTTGGCGTTGAATATAGCAATGGAGTCGAGAAAGGAGTATCCGGAACCGGATGCTTAACTGTATGAATCATTTTTCCGATTGATGAAAACTCTATATGGGTCTTTCTCTATGCTCAAGATAAAAAAGATTCAAATTAAGATTGATCAAGAAAGATATGTGAACAGAGAGACATTGAGGAAATTTCTTAAAGGAATTCAAATAAGGAAGCAGGCAGCTATATAATTAAATTGATCGTGTATATAATATGCAAAAAGAAAGAGAGAACGGGATCGGAGCTGGAAGAGGGCAAGAAAGTAGAAACGCGGAATTCTTGGAAGAGAAAGTTTTTTGTTAAAATAAAGCGTGTTGGAGTTGGAAAGAAGGGGTGGGTTGAGAGGGGTGAAGGGGGGAGGTGCAACGGCTAATTTGACATGAACAAACCTACCAACTCTTGAAAGGGGCATGTGGGACCCAACTGTTTCCTTTTTGCTTTGCCGGGTTGCTGTTTGATTGCACGAAATTTTCCATGGAACTTGGAATTCGAATTCCAACTTTCACTTTTGGCCTGTTTGATTGACAAAATTTTCCAGGGAATTGATTTTCCATGAATTTCTAGGTACAACACCTTAAAGCGTGATTTTCCACCTTTTTTTTCCTAGGGGATAGGTGGTTTTTGGTTTTCCAACTTTTTTTTTATTTTATTTTTTTGCTTTTTTTATTTTTTTTTAATTGTTGGCAATGGGAACAAATTTTAGGAATAATTGTAAAAGAGGATATCCCTGAAATTAACAATTTCCACGTAAAACAAAGTCAAACGAACATCAAAAAATACTTTTACTTCAACATTTTCCACGTGAAAAATTTATACAATCAAACACAATAATTTACAATTTCCATGAAAACAATTTCTAGGTAATTCAATTCCTTGGAATTCATTTTCTTTCCATGTAATTTTTCTACTTGTAATCAAACGCATAAGCGCTTGTACGGAAAGCTTAAAAAATTTTAAAATTTTGTGATCTAAGTTAATAATTAATTTTAGAGTTTTGTTATTTGTACCCGAAGTTTAACACTCCGAGTTATATGATGTGAGTGAGGGGGTTGGGCCCAACACATTTATTGGTGTGGGGCCCATGACCCCATGTGAGTAGCATTAACTCGGAGTGTCAAACTCCGGGTGCATGTAGCAAAATTTTTTTGGTCTGTTTGATTGCGAAGATTGAATTTAGGTTGAAAGAAAATGAATTTCAGAAAATTGAATTACCTAAAAATTGTTTTCCTGAGATTTGTAAATTATTGTTTTTGATTGGTATAATTTTCCACGTGAAAAATGTTAAAGTAAAAGTGTTATTTAGTATTCGTTTGACTTTGTTTTACATGAAAATTGTCAATTTAAGGGATATCCACTTCTAACATTGTTCCTAGAATTTGTTTCCATTGCCAACCAAAAAAAAAAGGAAAAAAAGATCAAAAATCGTCTATATTTTGATGTTCGTTTGGCTTTATTTTATATGAAAATTGTCAATTTCAGGGATATCCTCTTTTACAATTGTTCCTAAAAATTTTTCTCATTGCCAACAATTAAAAAAAAAAAGAACAAAAAGCAAAAAAAAAAAAGTGGAAAACCAAAAACCACCTATCCCAACAAAAATAAAAGGTGGAAAATCACGCTTTAATGTGTTGTACCTAAAAATTCATGGAAAATCAATTCCCTGGAAAATTTTGTCAATCAAACAGTCCAAAAATAGAAGTTGGAATTCGAAGAATTCCAAATTCCATGAAAAAATTTGTGCAATCAAACGGAGCCTTAATTTTATTCACAAATTTTATGAAATTCCTAATTTTATTATAAATTTTTATTAAAAACTTTGTCAAACAATCCCTATCTATTATTGTTAAGAAAATCTCGAGAATTTTTTTTTTTTTTAACCTAAAATAGTGTAATAATTTTTCATTCTCTTTACAATAAAATCCACTAAAGTCGAATAAGATGTTTTTAGACCGAATTACTCGAACCAAAATTAAGGGTTTCACAACATCCCATACTTGGTATGGCAACGAGGTCTAAACGGATCTCCCCATTCCCATCTCCATTCATCCCCGGCTCCTCTCCAGTTGGTAAATTTTGGGTGGCAAAGCAACAATAAAATATTCTCGTTTATAGCTTCATTTTCTTAATTTTTCATATTGATTTTTATTTTGTAGATAAAATTTAAATTAAAAATAAGATTTGGGGTGGGTCGTAGGATCATGATCCCATTACCACCCCGATTCTCTAACGAGTGGGATGCGGACGAGATATTTTGCCATTCTTATTCTGTTCCTACAGAAATCGCAAGAATCAATTCAAAATTTCTAATTATAAGAATTATTGCTACTTGTACGCAAAGAATTACATAATGATTTACATACAGATGAAGTGTAAAAAAGAAAATGTGATTTTTTTTTTATTTGGTTGAAGAAATTTTGACCTAATCATATTTCACCACATCGTATATATATAAATCATTATGCACATGTTCTTTATTATTATTTCTTATAATAACTGATAAAGAGTTTAGAGGCTTTGGTTGTAGAATACATGTATATAATGGTTTACATACACGCGATATTGTGAGATATGATTGATCAAAATTTCTTCAAACCAAAAAAATTATCCATTCCCTTTTTAAAACATCATTTGTATGTAAATCTTTATATAACTTCATTATATACAGACAGCATTATTCTATTTGTACAATATCGTTAACAAAGTTGCCAAAAGACGGCCCCTATTGGAGAAGCGGCTGTGGGCACCATATTGTACTCTGAACATCTTTGTGCTCTTGGTCTTATCTGGAATATAATGTGTAGCTAATATATATGTGGGGATGGTATATTATTTTTAAGAAAGTAAATGTCTACACTTCAGAAATTAGGGCTAGCTTATTGATAAAAAAAAAAAAAAAAAAAAAAAAAAAAAAAAAAATTAAAAAAAAAAAAAAAAAAAAAAAAAAAAAAGCAAAGATTGATTTTGTAGGTAACATTACGTACATGAACTCGAACAAACATTCAGAGTGATTTTGTGAATAATATTTAGTCGACATTATCAAAACTTTATAGTTTAACTTGATTAAATTATGTTAAGTCAGTGCAATTAGGTGACTAAATTTGAAGTGAGTGCTACTTTATATTGAAAATTGATAATATCAACTCACAATTAAGTAACTCAAAATACTATAGTGTCATTTCATAACCAATAGAATAATTAAATTTAAAATATAACAAGATAAGATAAGACGAGACGAAACGTGTCAATCTACTCTTTTATTTTCACCAATAAAATTACGTACTTTCTAGAAATACTTTTCTTATTGTATAAGTGTATGACTTCGCAAACATAATTAATTGTTTTATACAACCTAACACAAAATTATTAAACACTTCTTCAATTTATCAAAAAAAGGATAAGAAATAGTGGCAAAGGCCTAGGCCGGCTCTCACCATAAGGAATTTTGGACAAAACCACGCTCCTTGTTCGTAATCCAGATATCAATGCTATTTGGACATCATTGTGTACGGATTAATGTAGCAAATTGATGATGTCTTTTTTTCCATCTTTTTTTTTCTCTATTTCTCTATTTTATATTATTAATTAATCCGTAAACAATACTGTACAAGTAGTATTACTCGATTACCTAACGAGGCGGGGGAGTGGAATTTACCCCCCAAGTCCAAAGCTTGAAGTATGGTTAACTGGACCACTACTAACTTGAAGTTCAAAACAAAACAGCTACACAGTTTATACATTGTTTATATATACACTTTAATTATAATAATAATTATTATTATTATTATTATTTTAAAGTATTTTGTGCCGGAATGTCTTTGGTCGGTCACTGACAAGTGTCTCTTGTAATTTACACAATCATTTCTGCTTCAATTCTCAGAAACTGTATTAATGGGTTTGTTTTTCAGCATTAATATAACGGAAACATTGACCAAATGAATTAAAAAATCTATTTGACTGAGTTCTTTCTTGTTATAATCTAAAATTATGTGGCACAATTGAGATCTACACATCATACTCGAAATATCGAGTTCTCGTAAGTAAATGGTATAATCTGTTCAACTCGGACTCCGAGTAGCTTAGTGTTATATACTGAAGAAGAGTAAAAGAGTAACTGAAAAACAAGTCTCTGTAAAGACTATAGGTGTATGGTGAAATGAGTTTCAAGGACGACTACGTATGTTTTTATTCATCAAAGATAAAAATGAATAAACTTTCTTGTCCGAAAATTTAGTCTGTATCTACCTTATAGAATTCATGATGAACAAATTTTGACAATTTATTAATCAATAGGGATTAAAATTTATAGAGATTGAAGTGTCTCATGGAACAGGTGTGTGACATTTCAGGAACTGGTGCACCACTTGGTCTGATTCGTCTTAGCCATTGGATCGCACTATTTTTATGATCTGACGGCCCAGATTGAACCATGAAGTGAAGTGTCCATTCATCATGCCTATTCACCAATTTCTGAATAGTCACAGCCATACGGATGCCACGCGTACACCTAACCGCCATGCAGGACGAAGGGACGCGACCTACCACTCGTGCGCCACCTAGAATGCCAACACCTTATAGAATTCATGATGAACAAATTTTGACAATTTATTAATCAATAGGGATTAAAACCTAATTCGAATGATATGTACGAAGTTTTATCAACTCGGTAACATGAGTTCGACTCTCATATACTCAACGAGACATTTCTACTCTCTTCTATTGTTCTTTAGCTCAAATTATAATACAACTGTTGTCGGAAATTCGACTAACGCAATCAAAAGAAGAAATAAAATAAGCAGAAAAATAGACAGTAAATGAAGCGAGGTATGCCAATAAAGTAAGCAAATCTCCTTAAGACAGATTTCGCCCCCCAATGAAGTGCAAACGGGATTATGGACGTCTGTCTCCCAAGATACAACGCTCCTTCCAAAGTCGATACTGCACAATACCAACCTTGTCGGTCGAACCAATGAATGATCGTACTTGAACGGAATAACGACGGAAGTATAAGAGATTTTTTACGAGCAGAATATGGAGATAGAAGAATTTAGAAATCAATTGAATTCGTAATTGATTTGGTGTGTCAAAAAACGAATATGGGGGTCCCTATTTATAGAGATTGAAGTGTCTCATGGAACAGGTGTGTGACATTTCAGGAACTGGTGCACCACTTGGTCTGATTCGTCTTAGCCATTGGATCGCACTATTTTTATGATCTGACGGCCCAGATTGAACCATGAAGTGAAGTATCCATTCATCATGCCTATTCACCAATTTCTGAACAGTCACAGCCATACGGATGCCACGCGTACCCCTAACCGCCATGCAGGACGAAGGGACGCGACCTACCACTCGTGCGCCACCTAGAATGCCAACTCATCGAGCCTTGTGCTGCCACGTCATCGAACCACGAGTCCATTTCCGAAAACTATAAGGCTCCCCAGCTCCTCGCGACGATGCGTACGTGCGAAGTGCGCCTCTAAAGCGCCCAATGCGTACTTTGCGACGTGCGCGTGCCGGGACCGGGACCGGGTCCGGGGAATGGTGCTAGTGGTGCGAAGCACCACTCTAGTGGTGACTAGCCTTTGGCTAGCTAAAGTTGGCCAAGTGGTAGGTAACATATTAAATTATATATTATTTACACAACCCACTATATAAACAAGACTATTTTCTTGTAAACTTTCGATGTGGGACTCCTTTCCATATAAAAACCACTTAAAATGGGCTTGTCAACATATGGGCCTATATTGGAGACTTTTCCAATTCACTTAAATTAATTGCAATGACCCATATCATTAAATATTACATTTAATATTTTAAACCCAAATCAAACCCAAATCAAATTCAATTAATTCCAACAACAACTCCTTGTTTTATTGACTTATGCTTAGAAGCGGACACCAATATTCCACCAAAAATATAACGTTAGTATCACATATTGCCCAATTTCATCTCCAAGCAATTATCTTTTCTTTCTTTCTTACATTTCTTTTTAATGAATATCAGATGAACGCTCCAAGGAATCAGATTAAGACGCTCGTGTCCTGTCTTTTTCAAATGAGCAAATGCAAAAACATATCTTCTAGACAAAAGTATATATTGATTTTCCATTTGGTCCTTATCTTTACTCTAGCTTATGTTTGGCCTCCATTTATTCAAAAAATTATTTTTTTCAAAATTCATTTTCAACCACGCATTTTCCCATCAAATAATTTTACACATAAATATAAAATTTTCTTTATTTTTTAACCACACAATTTCCAAAAAAAAAAAAAAAAAAAATGTGACTCAAACAAGGGCTAAATATGAAACAAATCTTCCTTTTTCTCTATTTATTTATTTATTTTTATCTTTTCCCTTTATTTTAGGAGTGGGCACTTTTTCCCAAAATCGGTGGAATCGGACCAGAATCATTTAGAACTGGCTGGTTCAATTCCAGATCTTCTAAAAAACAATTTGATTTCGAGACAAATTTTTAAGAACCGATCGGTTCCGGTCCGGTTCTTACCGGTTCTTGGTTCTAGTGTGGGAACTGCGGGAATCAGACGGTTTTCATTGGATTTTTTTTATTTTTTTATTTTTGTAAAATATATGACTAAATCTCCAATACTTTTATAAAAAATAATTGGGTTCCTTCTTAATTTTAGGTTTCAGCACTTTCCTTCTTCTCTTTGATTCTTTCCTTATCTCTTCTTATAATTCTTTGATTAATTGATTTTCAAGCCAAATTAAAATATTGGGTAAATCTATACCTAAATAAATTTATTTATAATATATAATTTCATTTAGAAGATACAAAATTTTTATTTTATTTTCACTTTGTAAAACTATACCTAAATAAATATTTGAATAATATGTTCGATTCTTCTATATTTTGTTAAAAGTATCACGTTTGTAACATTTTTAGAGTTTTTATTGGTGAACATTTTATTTCGACATTTTTAACGTAAAGAACCGAATCGGAACCGTTTGGTTCCACAGTTATCTACGGAACCAATGGTTCCATTTCTAAAATTTTCATTGGTATTTGGTTCAGTTCAGTTTCCTTTGAAATCGGATCAAACCGGACCGTTCCCACTCCTACTTAATTTTAGTTTAGACAAGAAATTGTCTTTTATCTTGAGGTAATTACATTTTGTAGTTTGCACAAATGGTTACAACTTAATGTATAGAAAGTATTATTTTTCAAAGTTAAGAGATCAACGTCTCTAAAGTGGTAAGATCGAAATTTTATTAGATTAATGACTAGAGTTCAGTTCTCATTTGAGGTAGGGACAAAATTACCAAAAAAAAAAAATTGTATTTTTAAGATTGATTTTTCATTTAAAGAAATAGAATAAAATTAATCAAAACATTGACTAGAAAAAAGAAAAGAAAAAACATTAAAATTCTGGATCTTATATGATTCTACGTAACTTTGTTGTACTTTTTCTTTTAGAATTAAATTTAATCAACATAAAATTAGGGGTGGACAAAAAAAATCGAAAAATCGGAGTGTTCAACATTAATTCATAACATATTTTCGTTATTATACAAAATAGTAAATACATAATAAAAAATTGTTAAAAAACAAGAAAGAAATGAGATAGAGCAATTACGATATTAGGAGACGGTGATGTCGATGGTTGTAGTGACGATGGGCTAATCCATGCAAACCAGTAACAAAATAGGAATCCGTTTGTTTTATCGTCGAAATTTTATGCATATCTCTCAAATTTATTGACTTTTGTGTTTCCAAAACACAAAATGTTCTTTTTATAATCAGATCACTGAATTGGCAAATGCTTAGATACGATTATGGGATGAAATTGAGTTTTTTATTGACTATATTACTTTTCAATACAATTAAGCAAAATGTCTATTGTTGTAGTAGAGAGTTGCTATATGGCCTGGGCCACAGAGCCCCCCATAAATAGGGGGCGCCACGTGGTAGGTCCTGGCCAAGCAACTTTTTTCTATTGTAATAGAAGTAATATTATTTATTATCATTCTAAGCGGCAATGAAGTCTATCTAAACTTGTCCGATAATATTAAAATGCATTTTTAATTTATTTGACAAACAAGCCACCTATACTTGTAATAAATGTACTTGGTTCCTTGTGTGGGTTTTTACTTACTTTCTTTTCTTTTCTAAAGAGGCTGAGATAACTGCCACTTCGCCGCTTCGGGGCGCACAAAAGAGAATTTTGATTTCTCTACATGTATTGAAGGGTATATTTGGCATTTCGAAAACTAATATCGGATGAATGAGAAATTACGAAAAAGGACGAAAATCAAGTCAAATATTTGACCGTGCGACCGCATGATTGGTAAACCGCGCGATCACACGTCAAATTCAATTCCGGTTCCACACGGTCTATAACCGTGCGGCCGCACGGTTGTCCGGTGAATACACCTTTTCATAAAGGTGCATTATTTGGAAATGGTGCATGGTTTGGCCTCAACCATTTCGGCCACACCCTTTCATGGTCTATAAATAGGACCATTTGGGTGTCCTATTCCTCACAATTTGATATGCAAAACATCTCTCATCCTCTCTTCTATCCAAAATTAAAATCATTTCATTTATTTTGATTTTCCTTCATTTTATCCTTGGAGTACATAGCCTAAATTTGGTTCATTGTACTTGTGTTTTGGAGTGCTACAAACACAAATGTAGCCGTTGTATCTTGGGAGTCGATTGCCGAAATCCGTAGGCACCGTTGGTTTCGATGAAGGTACACCTTTGTTTCAAAATAGTTATATATTTCAAAATCCAACATTTTAGCAGTTGGTAACCAAGCCTGTTTGGGAGTGATTTTCTCTCAAAAAATTGATTTTTTTATTGTTATTTCACTATTTCAGCCATTATATTTGACTTCTTCTCTCACATGTGAACCCTACTTTTCTTCTAACGGTCAAAAAATAATTTTCAAAATCACTCCCAAATAGGCTCCAAATTTGATTTACTGTAGTATCAGTATGCAATTACCAAAGTGGACATTGATTATAATGATGCCATATTATGTTCTTATTATTGGTAGTATTGTAAAAATTTATTTTTACTGTTTATAACAAATAACAATATATAGTATTATTAAATGTTTTCCGAGATTATAGTTACTCTAATACAAAAAGATAACGTTTATTAAATCTTAAAATTTATAAAATTACAAAATAAAACATAATCCATATAATAGAAATTAATTTAATTAACAAGGATTAAAATTGGTATTTTAATTATAGATAATTTGATAAGTCTAAAAGCTCTCATTTCGCTGCTTCTCAAAATATGTGCATTCATAAGTAATCTATTTTGATGTGCACATTTACAAGTAAACTAATTTGATGTTGTAAATTATGTTTATTCTGCTTTCAGATATTCATTCATTATTTTTGTCAATATTGCCAAATATTGGAGCACGGGTTTTTCTGGCTCAAGCGTATCTTATCTTTACCATAAATCATTTTCCTTGATTAATAATAATTGTTAATTTGTCAATATCTACGAGTTCCTTAATTTTCTTTCTTCCACATAGAGGAAATAGGATAATTCGTTAGTATACTACATGTATATGTATTTTAGAACTTCTTGTAACGACTTATGCATTCTGTTATCATTTCCAATTAACAAATGACATAAACCATTGGCAGTTGAAATATAAACGAAGATGAAGAAAAAGAAAATATTGAGCAAAAGGAATACAAATTACTATAAAGTGGCAGTATAATGTCCAAACGAAATACAAATTTCTGACATTAGACATTTTTAGTAGCTTGACACGGAAAAAAAATTATAATAAAATCTAAAATATCAGTTGGGTTCTAATAAATTTAACCATGACAAATTATTAACAAAGCACAGTCAAAAGCCATCAGTCAATCAGCATTTTGATGCCAACTTTTCAACCTTTCGTTCGTCTGTCTTCCCTATTTTGTATTTTCACATTTTCTCTTCATTTGGCAGAACATAGTTGTGGATACAAATAGATGATACAATGAATAAGATATTATTTTTTTCTTTTTTCTTGACACTGTCAACTAGTGTCTACTCCGATAAACTAAACATTAAGCCAGTTTTGAAGTCATGTTACTTCTCAGAAATGAGTGCGGAGGTTCCGATAAGTTATGTTCAATGGAACTTCATGCCATGCTCCTCGTTCGCACTCGATCAATAATCATTTGCCTACCAGACAAATCTTCTTCATAACCAACAACCTGTAGGCAAACAGGCAGAGCAATCAACTTAGAAGCATAAAAGGGTATGGAATCTAATTAAAATCCAGGATGACTATTATACGACAAAGAATGATATGGCCTGCCCCTATGAAACTCAATACATCATTTCAGCCAATAAAATTATGCAGCCTAAGTGCTCGTGTTTTCAGAGTTACATTCACTCAACTTCTTCCATAGAAGTCCAAATTTTCAGTTGGAGAAAGAAAGGACTAAGTAATGACATATTGCAAGAGCCAAAAACCATAAAACAGAAACCTGAGATTCAGTTTGTGTTTCACTGAAACCATCATAAACTTCCTTAGCTGCTGCATCTCCGGCGGAATTATCATATTTTTCATCAAACCTAAAGCAAATGAAGAAACCAGTTAAGTTGAATGAACATAATAGCCATAATCATTTGCTTGGGTAAATGCATGGATCCAAAAGAAGGAAATGAGCCCCTTAGGGCCCGTCAGTCATCACAAGATGATGCACACCACTCTAGGAATCGGACCAGAATAACCTGCTAAAAGTACACACACAGACACAGTCCTGATCGATCCTAAAAAGAACCATTGTTAACTAAAACTTTTTTACTCCAAAGTACCAGATTTCCAATTTAACCGTAGTCTCATCACTCATAAAGTAAAACTATGCCATAGAATAACATACAGAAAGGAACGCCATCTTGAATATACTCCGTAACATCTACCATGGATAAAGCGAAAAAAATAAGGACTTGAGACACGACCGTGATCCAAGCCAATAGAAAATTCTCTACTACAACCAACATCAGGGGTCTTGTGCTCTCACATACCTTAAATAACTTGTGCACCTGCGTTGATATAATATAATATTCATTTTACGATCAACCGTTCTATTCACATTTCATTTGATGATTGAGGCAAAGATTAAAATGAAAGCTAAAGATACCCAACAATAAAAAATAGAAATGCCTTCAGCCTCTGAATACCACATGAAGAACACAAGAAAGAAAAAAGGGATCTACAGTGCCTTTTCTTGATACAAGATTGGCAATATTCAAGATATTTTAACTTTAATAAACTTTATAATTGATAATTGAAAACATATAAATCCAAAATCACACATAAATTCCACAAATGGGCAAAGTAATTAAAAATGCAAACCTATATTTCCTGGTGTACTTGTGTTTTTGGGCACAAGCTCAACCATATGCTGAGTAGTAAAAAATAATAATAATAAATAAAGTAAAATAAAAAAATGGAGAAGAAGAAGAGAAAAACGAAAAGAAAAATTCGTGACAAGAAAATTAAAAGAAAGAGGAGAGAGAACAATACAAGTCATGAGATTACCTGTTTATCCAATGCTTGGGCTCTAGATCAGAGTGGGAATCTGCAGGACCTTGACCATGCCTCGTAGATTCAGAAGGGAAAGTCTGCTTGTAGTCAAGGACTACAACATTGAAACAGTAACAATATTAACAGAAGTAATGAAGTCAGAACTCAGAAAACACTTTTAAGGATACATTTTTACTGCAACCACTTGCTTCTGGAGACTTATGATCTTGAATCTGTAAAAGACCAGATAAAACATGAGAAAACAATCAAGCCCCCGTTTGTTTCTTAAAACTTATCTTTTCCAAACTCATTTTTCAACCACATTTTATGGGACCCATAATTTTTATCAACATTTCTACCAAGTATTTCATCATTTTTTTTTTTAATCAAAATCTACTAAATATCTATTTTTTATCAAACAGGGGCCAAATATCTAATTAGTTAAGGCATTTCAATTCAAGCAAAATTTCAAGTTGGTCGCTAAAGCAAATTTACGACATATGGAGTCACTAAATTTAAATCATGCTACATAATAGGTCACTCCGTTAGCCTTATTAACACCATAGTATAGTAGATGTTACCTTAATGTAGACTACCAACTATGCAACAATTCCTTCGGGTTGTCATCGTGTTTCTGACCGACCTTTTTAACGTTTATTAATGATTAAAAAAAAGGGTTGGGCCTTGAAAAGAGTGATTTGGAATTTAGTAGCTAAACGTGAGATTTCTTTCTCTTGAGAAGGCATTATATTGAAGATCTGTAGTTTCATCACATGGACACAACCATCATTAGTTGAAGTCAAGGTTTAATGCATCAACATCAGATCTCAAATGAATGTTCCTAAAGGAGTGACCTGTTATTCAACATTATTTAACTTTAATGAGTAAATAGGTCATAATACTTAAATGACCAATTTGAAATTTCGCTTGAACTTCAATGGCAATTTATGAAATGAACTCAATAGCTCATCCATTTCATGTGTAAATAAGGAATCAGATTCTTACCTTACTCGTTTGCTCCAACAAATCCTCTATAGCTGCGGCGACATCAGGAACTGCAGAAGAAAATTCCCTAGAACTTTCTAATACATTGTTTTCTGTGGCATTTTTCATATGGACAGAATTATTATTAGTGGAGGCATAAGATAGAGAATGTTTTATACTATCATTTGCCAAAAGTCTTGCCCTTTTACTACTACTTGAACACTTGGCCTCTTCCTTTGCCACAAATCTGGTAGAAGTAACAGTTTTCATATTTTTTATATCTCGGGACTCACTGGGAAACTGGGAAGCATCATCTTCAGATATCATCCTAAAAGATTGGCTAGGATACTGGCTCACATTACATAAACCCGCTTCCTGGTCTTGAGAAGATGGTTCTTTTGGATAAAATGGATTTGGATCGACGACTTTGTTCTGCATCAGAATCAAAGTTATTTAGAGCCCGTTTGAGCTACATTATTTGTAGAATGAGAATGAAAAATAGAGTTGTTATGGGCCCCACACAAGAGATAGAAATTTAAAAATGGTGATTTGATGTGATGGATAACGATCACATTTTTCATTTTAATGAGGTAAAAATGAGGCTCAAATAGGGCCTTAAGTTATAATTATAAACATCAAGCAAACTGAGCAGACACAAATTATGGTGAGCAGGATAAACGGAGAGATGTAAGAAGCACCTGTACAACACATTCGTATATCCACTCAGCCGTGACTAACTGTATTCCCCATTTACAAGCAGCCTCATATTTATCACCACCAGCAAATTTACACAATAGATGGCTTACTTTTTTGGTCAGTTTTTCAACAAATTTGACTCCAAGAACAAAGCACAAATTTCTCAGCAGCTGTCTCTCTTTCATATCATACCGTGAAACACAAAGGCGATATCCTTCAAAACCTGGCAAAGGAATTTGGCATGGAAGTGGAGAATAGAGAATGTGACTGCCAACATCCAGCAAGCAACCAGCCTTCAATGGTAGTGTATTACTTCCATCAGCATTTGTCCATTACGAATTAAACTCATGAATGGCAGTATTAATGGAAAGGTGATATTACGGAACAAATGAAGCAACAAACCAGGGGTTAAGCAAGCATTTTTATAACAAAATCTGATGAGATTAAGGATAACAATGGAGTTGATATATTCATCACTCATCTTTCAGATTTCAGCTGGTGGGAAAACATAGTCCTTTTTTTGGTAATTAGTTCCTTCCAGAACAAAAACAAAGACACAAAAGCAATCACAATTGGTGTTAGCTGCATGAAGTACTATTAAATTCACAAACTAACTGAATATATCAAGCTCTGTAAATCTTTTTATAGACCTTAAGGGCAGGCTTATAAATTATTATTTTCCAAATTAAGTAATTAGTAATACATTTCGATATATTTTACAAAATCATACATCATACTGAACAAAGAATATCGTGTTGGGTTGGATAAGTATCAATGACCCAAAGATATTAAAATCAACTCTTAAAACTTACACTGCATATTTTCATAGATACCATATGATGAAAGCTAGATTATGATAACCCATTTATATAGATCGGATTTCCCCTGTTACTTTCCCTAAAAAAAAACACAAAATTATAACACAGGTCTTAGTAACTTTAGACTGCATTATTTATTGAGATGACTATTGCCACAATTATAATTAGAGGAAATTAGTCAATTGTCTGTATATGTGCATAATACCTAAGTGCCTTTGAAATGGTTAGCTGACACTCATGGCATTTATACGACGCTGGTGAGCTACAACATAATAAGTAAAAGTTTTTTTGAGGTGATAACAATAAACTGCCTGATAAGCAGCCTGTGAAATCATTTTCGCCATTGCCATGCATTCAGCAGCAATGTCCAACTGAACCTACCAAATATGCCAGAAAGATCGAGCAAAATATATACCTCTAGGCAAGAATGTACCCAATGACTGGAGACATATGTACTCATAATGTCAGTCTGACAAGGCACCACACCATGACGCTCAACAATGAAGTGTACATTCTTTTCATTTTGATCTGCCACCATCTCTCCTCCACCTTGATTAACCCACTCGACAATTTCAGGCCTCTGAACAGTAAAAAAAATTTGAATAAAGTTATCAAAGGAATAACGTATCGAAGTGAGGAATATCAAAGTAGGCAAAGAACAAAAAATCTTGAATAAGTAACAGTTGATGCCTTTGAAGAATAAAAATAAAAATAAAAACATGGCAAGAGATGAAAAATTATTTCTGGCTTCAAATGATATATCTAAAACTCTATCACTTCAATTTCCATTGGCATGTAAATATGCCGAAGTACTGAATACATGCATTAAATTCTTGTAAATATAAAACTAATGGGTTTCGGTTCACAATGACAAATTGACAGGTGTGATACTAAAGTGATATTGACATTATACGCCTAAAAGATACAATTTCAGCAACGAACAAAGAATATATTGTTGTGAATAGATAAGTTATTAGATATTGAGGAATTATCAATACTCAAAATCATAAATAATTGATACTTTACGCTCAGGATGCAAGATTCAAGATTAATTAAGTGTGAAATACAATGCTACTAAGATATTGAAGCCACAGCTACTGCAAAATATTTATAGACAGAGCGACTTACTTGGGCTTCAGGAAAAGAATTCGAAAAGCGAAACAGCTTCCTTTTGAATACAGATGATGACTTTTTAGAGTCATTTCCATGACTTGAATCATTTTGCACCTTCAACTTGGCTTCTTTAACAGCAAAAAACATAAGCAGACTTTTTTTTAGTATGTTTTACAGTTGGTTGCAATGAGTTTTTTATTCGTTAATCTTACCCAATGACACTTCTGATCCAGATTGCACACTTTCCTGGATCTTACCATCTGCAAACAAGCAGGGAGAAGCAGAGGACTTCCCTGATTGCATACCATCCATGCTAGTTGCAGTTGCTTTGTTGAAGAATACAGGATCTACAAACATGGAGATGCAATTAACAGAGGTGTAAAACATTAGGTACCTTGAAAGCAGGATTTAAAAGCATATTTGCAACAGTTTACTGCTCAAAAGTCATAAAATAATGCAGTTCTCTGTAACCAGCAACGAAAAGTAATAGGTAAAGAATTTCAATTGCACCTTTTGGAAGAAGCAAATCATAAGCAATGTGTCTCTGGAGTACAGGAATTTCTTTTTTTTCACAACAGCTTTCTTGAAGCCATAAAGGTTTTACGACATAGATAACTCCAATAGCTGCAAGGCTCCTTACTTCCTTGATTTCCCTACAGACTTACAAAATGAGAAAGATTGATATGACCAAACACAGTATTTTAATAAAAGTTTCCACTCAAATAGAAAGCACGAGTTTGAATCTAGCACTAGATAATCATAATTGAGATTTATTTTTTATTTATTTTTATTTTTTTTAACTCTAGGTCTTATCAACCACAAGCACACAAAATCTAAATATCGGTATCTGGTAACAGATGCTATGAAGTAAGGAGCCTGGCAAACATAGCAAATAGTCTAGCTATTGTTGGAATAACAGAGGTTCATATTCAATTATTCATATATACACCATTTTGTTGGTTCTCATGTAATGTAATAATTAAACTGCATTCTCAAATATACCTCCTGCTGACCATGTGATATAGAACCCAATTGAACAAGAAAGAGAGAGAGAAAAGAAGGGAGAGAATACATAGAGAATTCAGGGGGAGAAAGTATATATAATAATCAAGTCAAACTATTACAATGCATAAGACATCTTTATATAGTGTTTCAAATAACCTAATTTTAAGTAGGAAACCAACTAAAGAAATTATATAAAAATACTAGAAAAGATATGAATTATAAACCTGATCCAAGTCAAACTAAAAAACTATGATAAACTAAAATAAGCTAATCTAAATCAAATTATCTTTATTCCTAATCTACTATGGATATCTATTATTCTTATATTCATTCCCCATAACCATGAGTACTGCCCTCATCATGCTACATGAAACACCACAGAGTTCTATGAATCAGACATTAACCGAAGTGGACAAGAACGTAATCCCAAATATATCCGTTAGTAATTGAACTATAGCACATTTAGTTGAAAATGTAATATCTTGTTCTTGTTTGGTTACAGAAACAAGTATTTCAAATTCAGTTATGGCCTTAAGATCACAGAATAAAGGTATCAATGCTCAATCATGAGGATTATCATTAATAAATGCAAGTTCCAAAAGAAAATCACATTTTCCACAAATAGGAACAAGCACCAACTGAAAATGCGAGTTTATGCATGTCTACCATGCATCTCATAAACATTGTCAAAAACAAATACAGTTTTGAGGATAATTGAAGGCAACTTTTTCATTTATAATTTTTATCATGAGATGCATTCAGTATAAGGATTTCATACTTGCATGGTAACTTACATCTCTGATGGGTTTCCAACTACTACATGTGTCAACTTTTCACTGAAGGACATATAACGAGAACCACCACCTCGACGAACCATGTCAACTAGTTTACGCAGTTCAGAAGCTTCAAAGCCAACAAGCAGAATTTTGCACTCCGACAAGTACAAATCATCATCCCCACTTTCAGAGTCATCAGCCACACAACGGTCGAAACCAGCATCATTTTCACGCTGCTCAGCAGGGAATTCATTTTCCTTGGTAGTAAAAGTTGGAGCATCCAAAACTGTAGAATATGTGTGTTGCAGGGGATTTTCAAGATTAGTTTCTGTGGGCTGAGTAGATAAATTCGCCTCGGAATCTGAAACAGTAGCCATAGATGATGATGTATGTTGCGAATTTCTGAAACTCTTGTCCTGGCTATGCTGTTCCACTGTCTTTAAAGTGCTCACAGAAGATGCAGAACTAGCCAGAACAGGATAAGACTCCTCATTAAGACATGCTAATTGTCCAGATGGCACAGCAAAAAGCCCACGCAAGGAGAGAGAGAGAAAGAACATGTGGAAGTCAGGATCGTAGCAAAAGTTATTCTCAATAGAACTAGAAAACAGCAAGGAAGAAAATAGGCGTGAAAATGCAATGTGCAATAAATGCATTATAATACCTCTTCTTAAAACAGATTGATCGAACCACTTTCTGGCTATTATATTTATATGACCCCACCTTTTTGCAACCTTATATTTGTCACCTTCAGGAGTTTATGACCAATTAAGGAGACCAATGTTCAAAAATAAAAACATTTTCATAGGCATTATAAAAATGAGTATATCAAATTAGAATATCTCAAGCACAACTACCACTGCCACGGGACAACCTTAATGGCAAGGTTATGATATATCTAGAAACAAGCTACAAGAAAGAGAAGTCCATTGGTTCTCAAGTTCAAGCAGACTAATCAAGATACGCATATCCAGAAACTACCAACACCACAAGAGAAAAATAGAATTTAAGGGAAAGATATGACCTCAAATTGAATAAGGACTACTTAATGGAAGGCAAGTAGTAAAGTACGAGTGGACTATGCATAGGATATAAGACAAATCAAATGTGTGCATCTCTTGGTCAGTTCAGCAGAATATTTGCCTCCATTTTGCACAACAAGCTTCTCCATTTGCCTTCGTTCATCTGCAGAACAAGAATATCAACCTTAGACAAGAAAATGTAAATTTGTAAATACAAAAGACAAAGCATATAAACCAAGTTTTATACCAGCAGGAATTCCACTAACGCAGATTGTCAATCCAGAAAAAGGAAGAACCCTGTATGACTCTTGAGGAACTACACGGTGCTCCTTCCAACATTGGTGAAGCCAATTTATGGTGACAATTGGTTTCTTTAGATTGTTTAGAGCCCACTGCAGAAATTGAAACAAGGTGGAGGAGAAAAGAAACAGAATCAGTTAGAAGATCCTAGGCATGAATTGAATAGATTTTATCTCTCTTTTGGAGAACAGAAGGGGCATAAGAAACAAAGAATGACCATTAGACAGACATACAGAAACTCCATTGTCAACAGACTCAACACACAGCATATCTTATATCCTTCAAAACTCAGTATGGAGAGGAAATGAAAAATTCAATTTCAGTAGGAATGTTACATTAACTTTCTCTATGGAACAGAGAATTAGTTAATAGATAGAACAAATTACAAAATAGTCCTCAAATATAAAACTGTAGGATCAGAAAGGGAAAGTCAACAATGTCATCTTTGTTGAATCACTTGATCTAAAAGCTTATCTTCAATAGTATCTCCAATTCCATCAAGCTTCCAGTCAGGGTTAAGGAAACACCGCTGAAAATCTTAGCATTCTTATCGTGCTATATAAATATGTGACACAATAAACCTATATAAATATCTGCTTACTGGTTAACTATGAAGCTCCAACAAGCTCTCTAGAACTTATAAATTTGATCATTATAATTGAGTAGAAAATGAACATCCAAGGAACCTATCAAGACAATTAAATGAGATTCAGAAGTGTCATAAATGGGAAGATCATGCAACCCATGTTAAATGGTTGATACACTAATGAATCTTGTCATCCAACACCCAAAAAATGATTAATATTTCAGTTACAAGGATGGTTTTTCAAAAATGGATAAACCTTAAAAAACATCTTTCATAGTATTACTATTGTTACAGGTCCATTACTAAAAATTTCCAAGCATGTGACCTCGGCTCTTTGAACTAAATGTAATTTTTTAAGAATCTCAATCATAGTTCTAATAGGATTTGGTGATCCAACCACCTTAAACAGAATGTATTACATAGATGATTGCAAATTACTGAAAAATGCCAAGCATGATTCTTTTATTCTTGTTCATGCTGAGACACCCAATTCTGTTGCTTCTATGATTATATGAGCAGGTCAACCTGGAATGACCCCATGAAATTTAATGATCGTGGATAGATATAAGCAAAGATATATTATACGATGGAGAATGGATATGAAGAAAGAAACTCGGTGTAGACTTCCTCACAAGGAAACGTAAAAGGGGAAATGAAAACCTTGTATTTTTGAGCCAAAACATTCTTCACTATAACAAAACTGACATCTGATGATGCTCTTGTTTGAAGAACTCCTCCCATTGCAGTTACCAACTTTTCAATTTCAACCTACAAAGTCATTCGAAAAACAGGGAATTAAGGATTACCAAATTGGAGAAGAAGGTCAAACGTCCATGTGCAATTTTAAGGTGGGAGGGGGAGAAAGTGCTAGACGCACACATTAAGATCGAAACAGGATCACTAGCAACTCGTCAGATTATGAAAGATTCCGGTAAAATTATCTCAACTTGTGTACATTCAACAAACATTTTTTTGAACCATATAAAAGGAGATTTTTTAAATTTCTGTGCAATGTGCATATAGAACTATAAATGAAAATGGAATCAGATGCCAACTATAGCCATCACACCCAATACGTCCGTCCAACTCAAAGAATCAAAACAAAAAAGAAGAAACCCAAAAAGTGGACCTCATTTTTTGTACAAAAGCAAATCTTATCAACAATAAAATCGGCAAAAGCACTTAAAAAAACCTAGAATTCAATACCACCTCAAAGAAATAAAAACATTTTCCAACAAAACAGCAGCTAAAATTTTATGTAAAAAGAACAAATAAAGAATAAAATTATCTAAAATAAAGTATAGAATAGCATTGCTGAACTCACTTCACGTTATCTGCAAGATGTAATAGCAAACTAAAGTCAGGTCGATAAGAACCATTGATGGCAAATATGAAACATGACAAACTACAAGCTAATTTTTATAAGCATAAAAATAAGAAATAAATAAGGATCCCTTTTATTATTTTTCTTTTCACAGTTATTATTTTGAAGCTATGAAAATTTCTATATTTCTAAATTTTGTAAGTTTTCTTTTTTTTTTTTCATGAATTTGATGTATAAACACAGTACTATTATTCAGTTAAGTCCACTACAGATCAGATGTTTGATGATATCGAAATTTGGCACTGTGTGATCTCCTTACTCCAATTATTATTCTCTCTTTCTGCTATTTCATTTCTTGTCTCTATAATTCTCTCTCTTTTCAGAAAATAGTCTTGAAGTGTTCGAAAAAAGAAGTCTTTCAAGTATTTTTTGGAAAAGAAATCGGCAAGATCCACTAGATGATAAATTTGGTTCTAAGACATCTCTAACTATTAATTCGTCATAAGAAAAGAATTCTGCTACTGTTAGTCAAAAAGCATCTTTATTGCTCTTCAGAAAGAATGTCTCATAATGATTACTAAAAAAAAAAAAGACTCAGTCAAGTTCATAAAAAGAACAGAGTTGTATTGTATGCAAAAAAGGATCTTGAATATTTTCCTCTCGCATAAAAAAAAAATAAAAATAAAAAAATGAGAGAGTGCTTTTCATTGGGGAAAAATTCATAAAGCCGAGTCTAGTCCGAATTGTAGCAGCCAAAGTCAACAGACCAGCACATTCTTCGAACTCATCAGCTAACCCCGAACCGCAAAAAAATAATAATAATAATAAAGAAAGAAAGAGAAGAAATGAAAAATAAAAAAGATCATCAAATCACCAACCCAATTAGAAGCACATTACCCATCAAGATACAAACCCAAGGAAAAATTAGAGTTTATGGATTAAAATATATGTCGAAGATGAAAAGACAGATAAACATGTCAGATGTGGATCCTTTACAGTGAGTTGAGAAAGTTGTTACATAAATAACAGATCACAAAGTTTGAAGTTGACACTTGCTCAACAGAGTCTGCAGAATAGATTAAATTTCCAGAAAAATGTGACCACAAAACAAAAAGATGTTTACATTACAAAAACTGGGGGCACGGGAAGAAAATGAGAGGAGACAGATAGGAAACCAGCAGGATCAGCTCTTCTATTCGTCGTTATTACAGGCAATTTGTATATCATCTCCTTGCTAGTAATTTTTTGTATAAAGTACAAACAATGACCATCTAGCAGCACTAGAAACACTACACTCTACTTTTCCATTTATGATGATGTCAACATACTGATTATTCAAGTACACTAGGCTTGAAAGGCTAAATGCAACATGGCCCCACCAGGATAAACAAAAATGCAGATAGTTTTCTCTTAACTTAAATTCAGCAAGACTCGTCCCACATATCAAGAAAGATTCTTGACTTGCATGCATTACATAACTGACCTAATGGTGGATGAGTACCACCCACAATAAGAAATCTAGCAAGAATTGGAATAAATGTTTTAGAGAAAAAGAATGTTGCGCTACCTTGTTTATCATAAGATGAAATCTCAAGGATAAAACAAGGCAGGAACGTTAACCAAGTTGAAATTTCCAATCGATAAGAAGTAGCTTATTGGCACCATACCTTTTCATCCTTCTCAAATCCAGACACAAGTATGTTGACGCCATCCATTGCAAGGCAACAAGTGAAGCCCTGATTAGGCAGCGATCTGTGTTCTTTTGCACAAGACAGCAGACACTGAGGGCCTAGCTAGAACAAAATTACACGTCGATATTAGCACACTACAAGATCATTAACTTAAAGCATTCACCCTCGACATGTCAGCCAATTAAAGAGAAAGACTAATCATGAAAAATTGAGTCATTCACAATGTTCAAGTAGAATATACCATCACCCTATCCATCAGTACACCATAACGAGCAATCAAGAAACGCACCATACCCGTACTCTCTACGCTTACACAAACTTTTTTTTTTTTTTTTTTGATAAGTAATCAAATATTTTATTAATCACTAATAATAAACATGAAGTGTATTATCAATTTATACAAGAAAGAAACAACATAAAGTTGAGTAACCCATCTATACGAATAGTAGCCGCAACATTAAACCAATTATACAAGATCAAATAAAATGATTCTTTGATATGCTCTGTAATCCTTAAATGATCATTAAAACAGTGGTTGTTTCTCTCCCTCCAAACACACCAGACAATACACCCTGGAATGAGGTCTCAAACAAGCTTGCTATCCTTATTACGAAATTTTCTCCTCCATGCTTTCAATACATCCTCCATACACAGCGGGAAAACCAAACATATGTTGAGAAGCTAGAATATCGATCCACGGGAAACGAGCAACGTCACAATGAAGGAACAAATGGTCAATCGTCTCCCCATTCCTCCTACACATATAACACCACTCCGTAATATAAAAGCCCCTTATTCGGAAGTTATCCACCATTAAAACCTGTCCCTTCACAACCGTCCATAGTAAAAATGCCACCCAAGAAGACAGTTTACATTTCATAATCATCCAACTCCCAGTCCTACAAACCCCTTCAAAACGCAATTATTCCCATTATGTACATGTAGAACCTCGTTCATCATAACAGATGGCATCAAAGCAATACGATACAAAGAAGGAAACTCCACTCTTAACTGCCAATTTCCACACCAAAAATCTTCCCAAAATTTGATAGTCTTACCATTTCCCACCACAAACGTCAATGTATCCCAGAAGTCTCTCCACCCTCATCGAATATATTTTCACAAACTCACCCCATAAGAACTACGACCCTCACCTGAGCACCATCATCCCTCCATAACACCATATTTCGCCTCTATAATTTCTCTCCAAAAGTTCTCCCTCTCCGCAACAAATCTCCACAACCACTTACCCAACAAAGCCTTATTAAACACTACTAGACTTTTCAATCCAAGGCCCCCATTCCTTATGGGAGAACAAATTGCCTCCCAATTGACCAAGTGAAGTTTCCTCTCCTTCCCTAACCCTCCCCATAGAAACTCCTTTTGAATCCTCTATAATCTTTTTGCCACTGAGACGAGAATAGGAAATAATGATAAGAAATAAATAGGGAAGTTCGATAGGGTGAACTTAATGAGGGTAAAACAGCCTCCCTTTGAGAGGTACATACGTTTCCAACTCGCTAGCTTCCCTCCACCTTTTTCACAATGATGTTCCAAATATGTATACTTTTAAATCAAGATCCTAGGAGGAGTCCAAGATATAACATAGGCAACTGTGCTACTGTACAACCTAATATAGCTACCAAGTGCCAACTCATCCACATTATCGACATCTCCCACCTTGATAGCCTCAGATTTCCCCAAATCTATCTTCAATCCTGATACAGCTTCAAAGCAAAGAAACAGACGACGCAAGTTCCTAAGTTGCTCAACATCTGCAACATCTGCATCACAGAAGATTAATGCATCGTTTGCAAATAGCAAATGAGATACCTGCACTTGGTCAGTCATAAAGCCCCTTAATAGGCTTCCACCACAGCCTTCTCAAGCATCCTACTGAAAGCTTTCATAACAATAACAAACAGTAGTGGAGACAAAGGATCCCCTTGCCTCAAACCTCTGCTACTCCAGAAATAACCTTCAGGAGTGCCATTCACCAAAACAGAAAAGGAAACCATAGAGATACAAAACTGAATCCATCTACACCACTTATCCCCGAAGCCACATCTTTTGAACATATACAGGAGGAATTCCCAGTTCACGTGGTCATAAGCTTTCTAAATATCAAGTTTACATAACATCCCTAGAGTCCCTATGCGCAATCTCAAGTCAATACATTCATTCGCTATAAGTATGGAATCCAGTATCTGATGCCCTTTGACAAAAGCATTGTGAAATTTAGAACCACTTTCCCCAACACCTCTTTTACTCTATTTGCCAATACCTTTACAATAATCTTGTACACTTCACTAACTAAACTACTGGGACGAAAGTCTTTAATATCCAATGCTCTCAATTTTTTTGGAATCAGCGCTATAAATGTAGCATTCGAACTTCTCAAGAACCTGCCACACTGAAATAAATAAGTAAAGACGTCTATAATGTCCGATTGCACCACTTCCCAACAAACCTTATAAAATGAGAACGAGAATCCATCCGATCCTGGAGCTTTATCGTCATTCATACTGAACACCACCTCCCTAATCTCATCCTCTCCAAATGGTCTCTCTAACCAACGGACATCCTCTTCAGTAATAGAAGAAAACTCTAACCCCTCCAACTTAGGCGTCCAATCAAACTGCTTGCGATAAAGATTTTGATAGAAACTCACTATTTGGGTCCCAATATCCTATAGGTCCTCATAAGTAACACCATTTACCTCCAGCAATGTGATACAATTGTTACACCTGTTTGAATTAGCGACCCTATGAAAAAACTGTGGATACTTATCCCCCTCCTTCAACCACTTGACCCTAGATTTCTGACACCAAGCTATTTCCTCCATCTCCACCAACCTCTCCAACTGTCCCCTTAGTTCTCCACGTATCTCCCACTCATCCCCTACCAATCCTTAACTCTCTTCCCTCTTATCCAGCTCTTCTATTTCTGAAATACATTGCTTTTTACGCCAGTTAACATCTCCCACTATCTCTTCATTCCAATTCTTTATATCCCTCTTCAAGGATTTCAATTTCTGGTCCAACACATAACAAGTAGACCCCTTAAAATTGTAAGCTGCCCACCAATCCCGTACTCGTTTCCTAAAGTCTTCTACTTTTAGCCACATTTTCTCAAACCTAAAAGGCCTCTTTTCACTACACCTCACATTCCTCGATAGCAAAATAGGAAAATGATTAGAATACACCCTCCCCAATCTTCTCTGAGTGACCTCTGGGTACTTCTCCTCCCACTCCCCACTAATCAAAAATCTATCTAATCGTGATAGAATAGGTTGATCTCGATTAGAGGACCAAGTAAAGTTTCCTCCAATTAAAGGCACATCCACCAACATGTTCTCCCTAATAAAATTAGAGAACTCTTCCATTGCCCCTGTTAATCTCCCACCGCTAGACCTCTCGATAAGAAAGCGAATCACGTTAAAATCTCCCCCCAATACACGTTGGAATGTTCCACCAAGCCATCATCCCACAATCCACCTCTACTCTTATCAGCGTTAGGCCCATAAACTCCTATAAACATCCAACGGAATCCATCCCCAACATTACTAAATGAAAGCGATAAAGAAAAAATTGCCCTTCACTAACCTCCTTCGTATGAAAGACTATAGTACCCCACATAACTAACACACCTCCTGAAGCCCCGATGATCCCACATATTGATACCCTACATGATGTCCCCCCATAAACTATTTACTATAGCCCTCGAGACGAACTCCAATTTGGTTTCTTGTAAGCAAACAGGTTCCGCCTTCCATCCCCTCAGCAGATTTCGAACACCCAACATTTTCCCCGCATCATTAAACCCCCATCACATTCCAACTAATAATTTTTGGGATCATCTTAACGTTTTGTCGTCCTTGACAAGCACACCTTTCTTTGACTCGACAACTTTAACGTCATAATTTACTGACCACTCGAGCCGTTTAAGTTCGTATTCGCCCTTCCTTCTTAATTTACCTCCTTGTGTACACATCCCCTGTCCTCTAATGGTCTCCAGTCCCTCGAATAATTGCAAAAGTCTACTTTCATATCCTTCGCAAGACACACCAACCAACTTACTGAAGTCCTGGATTTTTTTAAGGACCCAATTTGAGGGTGGGGTCCAACGTCCATCACATTCATTTTCATTGTTTCCTCTGCATAACGATACTCCAAGGGATCATTGGAATATCTCTCCACTCCCTCTACCTGCATGACATCACTGTCTGTTCCTCCCTTCTTAGCGCCATCTACCCACAACAGCATAGCTTTTTCAATCCCTAATTCCTTTTCTTTTTGAGGCTTAGATTTCCTTCTATTAAATGTGTTCCCAACCATGATTCTCGACATGTCACCTCGTGTTGTTTCAAAACTGTCGAAACTGCTCCCTCTTCCAAAACATGTCCCCGTCTCTTGCTCAACTAATCATAATCCATCCGCCTGCGGCGTCGTGTCCATAACTCCCACTGTTGTCGACTCGAAATTCACCATATTCGGCTCCCCTTCCTTTGACCAAGGTATCACCTCCCGATCTGCTTCAATCCCCGAGTCATAATCATCCTCATCATTAGAATTAGAAAGGGTTGCTTTTAGTGCTAATTCCTTAGGAGCCAAGCTCTCCATTTGCTTTCCATTAGCTAGAGACTCTTCCAAGCCTACCCTTCACTTATGACAAAAATACATCTTGGAGTTCGCCTCAGACCTACATCCCACTAGCCTAACTAATTCATCCAATTCCCCTTTCAACATCTGGATACGAGCCCTTATCTCAGCACTATTCAACAATACATATTAAAAAGGCAACAAAATTTTATCCAAAAATGATTTTAAACATTGAAAAAATGGTAACTTGATATACATATGAGACGTATCTTAAAAGAAATGTCTTTCTTCATCTCGCGAACTCTTTTCACATGACGGCTTTGATGTTGAGTTTTTTAGGCTTCAAAGCAAGGCATTAGATGCCCAAAAAATTAATAATAATAATAATAATTTTGTCATATTTCTTAACTTGTTTGCAGGGGATGGGTCCTTGTTGAATTCTTGTTTGCATTGCATACTGATTAAAATAGAAGTTACCATTTATAATACCCGCACCCGAATTTCTGGGTGTAATTTTATCAGAATTGAAAATAGGCTCATTTGAGGGTTAATCCACCTTTTAAAACCTTGTAGCAAGTTTATTATAAATGCTAATTCTCACGTGTTTTTGTTTTAAATAAAGGTTGGATGCTTGTCAAAACTCTTATATAGAAAATCCTTGATATATGTTTTTGTCATATTCTTGATTGACCAAATATAGGGTAATGTATAGTGTGAATGCATATGTATATTGAATGTAGTATTTATGTGAGGAATGAGGGAGAGATTCTTGCTCATTTCACAAATTTCAAGGAATAATTTCCACCATCATGGATTTTTCTTTAATGATGCATGACTAGTCTTTTCCTATTTAGCTCTCTCATTCACATTCACACGCTGCCACTTAATATTATTTTTCAGTCCAAATAATATACACATATACACACACATAGCCGAGGTGGAAATTGTAGATGGATCAAGCAATTCTATTCGGCCTCTATTGCTCTATTTTTAAATTTCACTGTTAGTACGCTACCTATATTGAATTATTATTATGTTATGAATTTCAAGAAATTATTATACATCCCATATGGTACAATATGATTATGATTATGTTAAGGGGACTAGAGTTTAGTGGCACTACACATAAGAATTCTTACCACCTATGCTCAATAAAATTCTTGTGTCTTCATTATGTTGATTATGATTATTATGCTCGTTTAAGTCATACATGATAATAATTCATGACATACTTATTGAGATTTTATAAATCTCACTTTATGATATTCCTCCATTTTAGGCAATTGATGGCTTGAGGTAATCAACGTGGAGATGACAACGGGCCAAGATTAATAAATTATTTTGTGTTTAAAACACAACTTTAAATTTTTAATTTAGTTGTTATGCTGGAATTATTATTTTTATTTATTTTTTGCAACTACGTGATAAAACCACAATTTATTTACTTATTGAAGAAAAAAATATTTCATGTTCTTATTTTAGTTCTTATGAAAGAATTTTGAGTTTTATTTAGGGACACTCGAATGGTCAAGGATTCAGGCCGTCACACTATTGACCTTCACTTCAGGAAGAAAATTATTTAATTTGCAGGTCCTTGGAAAGAAACAATTGATAATTTCAGTTATAGAACATAAAAAGCCCTAAAAAGCTATTGTGGTCATATCTAGAGCAAGTTCTCCCATAGAACTATGTTTAAATGTTTATTACTTCATTGCTCGAGTAGAACATGGTTTCACAATGTTCCAGCAATCAATGATGTAATAGTAAGTTACTGAATTGTATGGATGAAATGTTAGTAATCTGAATTTAGGCATAATACATATTAATTATGCAATATCAGTTCAACTCATAGTAAAAGATCTCTTAATGAACTTATCAAGTTAATTTTCTCAAATATTTTCAGCTTTGTATTTGCACTTTGCTGTATGTGCATTTTGCACTGAAGTCCATCGATGTGACAACTACATTCGTTAAAAAATAAAAAATAAAAAGTACTAAGTCTACTTCCCAAAAACATACCGAGCAAATTACAGCCCTTAGATCGAAGATCCACAAACTTCTCCTGCAAAATTCGAACCACAAAATGAAGAGGGATAAAAGTAATAAAGTTAAAATAAAAGGTAAAATTCAAATCAAATGGAGTAGATTAGTAAGCATTTTACATGATCACCGGAGGCGATAACGTGATAATCGTTGGGGGCATTACGGGAGGGGTCGCAGCAGAGGAAAACTTGGGCGCCGTTGAGCTTCAGCGCGTCATGAAGCGCGTCGAAGAGCTCCGGAGGCACTAGGTTCCTTGACATGAACACATTCGCTCCCTTGAACACCTTTGCCATTATCCTCCACTGTGTGTGCGATTTGATGGAGAAGTGTTGCTTTTTAATTTTGTGGAGAGACGACAGGGTAAAGGGTCTTCTATTTTTAGTTATTGGGAAAAAAAAAATACTGATTTGAAATTGTGGGTTTGCTATAATGTATTTCCGCGGGAAACGTCTAGCACTTTTCCCATAGAGGAACACCGGTCTATTTTTCACAAGGATGTGTTTGAGCATTAACATGAAATTTGTATGAAAAGAAGCTAAATTTTAAGTAATTCAAAAATTATCTAGAATTTATTTGTATGAAAATAATTAATAAATGCAGTTGATTGATTTAAGTCTCAATCAGGACAGATTCAAGATTGGATTCAAGATCGGGCTACAAAATTTCAAACCGGACTACTACTCAAAAAAAAAATTTATACATAAAAAACTGATTTTTTACCAAAAAAATAAAAAAAAATACCTTAAAAAAAGAGTAATGTAATTCGTAGTCACTCATTACGGTAGTCGTCCTACGTGGCATACACATGACAGGTGATTATTTGATGCATTAATGTGATAATTTTTTTATTCATTAATACATTAAATAATCACCTATTATGTGTATGCCACGTAGGGCGACTGTCGCAATGAGCGACTGTAAATAGCATTATTCTTAAAAAAAAGCTCTTGGGCCTGAGCGAGGGGGGCTACAGCCCAGCCCCGCCTCAATTCGTCTGTGGTCTCAATCCACAAAATATTATATTTGTCTATTTTTATTGTGGTAGATGAGAGAGAGAAATGGAGAATTACTTAGAAAAATAAAAAAATCCCTTGATAGAGAAAATATTTTTCTTATTTTTTAGAAAAATATGGTCACATGATCAAAAGTTGAAAAATATTTTTAATGGAATATATTGTCAATCAAAGACCAAAAGTAGAAATTTATGTGAAAAAATGACATTTTTATGAAAAATAAAGCTAATCAAACACATTTTAGATGAAAGTATATTTTAATCGAATTTCGATTATCTTAATCAAGAATTTGTGGCAACCCCACTTTAAAAGAAAATAGACTTTATAATAATAATTCTTTGAACAATATGTAATTAAAAAGTAGGAAAATTTTTTGAATTTATATATATAATTATTTTATTAGAGAAATTATGATTAAAAATGAATTTGGAAATATTGGGGCCCAAACGTAGACTAAGATAGTAATATAGAATATATGATTCGTGTTGACCTTGCGAATTGAACCCTACATGTGGCCAAGCAATAGCAACTCCATGTAATCCTCCCTATGCACAATAAAGAATGGTCAGAAGCACACGACCGAAACCAAAGGGGGTGATGACGACCGCACACACTATGACGGTCAAGTCAGTGATCGGAACAGTGTTCAAATTGTGCAAGAGAGAGGGGAGGAGAATAAATATTTCTTGAGTGTGGAGGCTAAGTTTTATAACCTCTGTCATTTGTCAAGCTTTGGGTATTTATAGTCAATGAGCACCGTTGGATGTGAAACACGTGTATGCATTTAACGGTGTGAGGAGTCCGCTAGTAGACGTTAATCAGTTGCGTCTAGAGTGGGCGAGTAATTAATTCTTCTAAATTGAATTGACATAAAGTTGATATGTCACATCAACTAAATCCATGGAAATGCCATATCAATTAATCCATGGAGATAGAGGATCCCGAAATAGATATATTTCTGAAATTGGGGGTGGAGGGATCTGTTAAGCGAGCACCTCAGAGTTCCCAACGCTTCAATGTCAGGAGACACTTCAATCACTTCAGTTGATTTACTTTGTGATGCTTGTGCCTTGTAGTACGTTAAGTTGAAGTTCGATCGAGGTTGACATTACTTCGAAACCACTTTAAAGGGACACGTGACGCCTCGTTGGGAAGTAGGCATGTCACGCCAAAGTGGTTTGGTAAGAGGCGTAACAATTCGTTTTATATGTGTTTCGATTTTGAGTTTTGAATTAATTTCCAGTTTTCTATAGCGAGGGTTCGTTTCAAGATTGTTAAAAGCACGTTTGATTTATTATTTGAAAAAATATTTCTCGAAACTGAAAACTAGAAAATATATTTGGTTTGAAATTTTGAAATATTTACAATTTTATATTAATATATTATCAAATAATATATATACATTTTTAAGTTGGTAAATCTTACAATATTTTTCTTATTATAAAAATAAAAGTAAAGCAAATAACGAATGAATTCAAAATATAGGAAACAAAAATAAAAATTAATAACATGCATATTTTTATGTTCATTTAAATATATTTTTTCGAATTTTTATATAAATAATACTAAACTATTTGTGTTTTTTATTTTTTTTATAATTTTATTTTTTCGGAGTTTTTTTTTGGGATTTTATATTAATTTTTTTTATTTTTTGAAATTATTAATTTTATTTTATGAATTTATTTGTCCAAATTTTGTTTTAGAATATTTATTTATTAGAATTCATATTTTATATATATATTTTTAAAAAAAATATTTAAACGTTTGTGTTTCCCTATTTTTTAATATTTTAAGAATTTTCACTAAAACCACTTAAAATGTCAAAACTAAGTTGTAAGTTATAAATTTAACTTTATTTTCGAAAATATATATTTGATAAATATATATTTGAAAATATCAAACCAAACACGTTTTTAATGTTTTGCAAATTTAAATATTGAAAGCGGCAAAGTGAACTCACCATAATGTCATTCCTCTATTTGATTCGCATTTTTCGAAGTATATATTTTTCTTAAATTCATTTTCAACCACACATTTTATGAAATTCACCCTTGTTAATTTTTAATTATACATTTCATCCATTTTTTATCAAAAGAGTAATGTTAAATACGATCATTGGTGTCAACACAATTTATGTGATAATTGTATGGTATTAAATGATATGTTCAAATAAATGTAATGTCAAATAATTTATTTAATTGAACCTATCAAGGGTGGCCATCTAAAATGGTTTTTGATAGCATTGTTCTTATTAAAAATTATTAAATGACAAGCTAAAAATTGACAAAAATCTAAAACAAAGTAACAATAATTTTAACTAAATATTTTATTGGATCCACAATTTTTATCAACTTTACAATCACATATTTCATTTTTTTTTTTTATCAATTCTCACTAAAAATTGAAATTTAGTTAAACAAAACAGGGTCTTTATATAAAATCAACTTTTTTAATAAATTGAAAAAATAAAATAATCATTTTTCATAAGTGATTTAGATGTGGAGTAAGAGGAGAGAAGAAAGAGTATTATGGGTTATCCATACAAAATAATAATAATAATAATAATAATAATAATAATAATAATAATAATAATAATAATAATAATAATAAGTGGAATCATGGTCTTTGAAAAAAGTTCAAAAAATAAAAAATAAAAATTGTAGTGTTCGTTTTCAAAGAATTTTGCATCTATTTTGAGTGAAAACGGCCTACGACCAAAACTCATGAGCTTCACCCATCATGTATTGCATGTTTCGGCTCAATTCCATCTTTTAGGGCTCCACAAAAATGCAATTATTGTAGAATTTTAATTTCATTTAGAGTTTATCTCTACTCTTAGCCCCTGTTTGACTCTCATTACCTGAAAAAGAAAATGGGGGGAATAATATTTTTTAGAAAAATGAGTGGTTGAAAAAGAAGGAAAATTTTTCGATTTACGTGTAATATTATTTTATGGAAGATTGTGTGGTTGAAAATAGGAGAGAGAAAAATGTAATGTAATGTAATTGAATTTAATGGGGATCAAACGGGGCATTAATCTATCATTATCTAAAATTAGTCTTTACCTAAGAATTTAGTTAGATTATATTTTATTTATTATAAATATGAGTTGTAAGCTTTGTAGCAATTTGTTGAATTTGAATTTATAAAAAGTCTTGAGAAGCTTATCATTCTCTCTTTTTTGCATTTGATATTTCAAATCAACAAGTTTGAGTTTTGTGAGATTTTATTCTTTCTATAAGCTTTTGCTATGTCAATAATAATCACCGATGACGTGAGTTGAAGTTGAGGGACGATGAAGTTGGTAAAGAGGAGGTGGAAGGGCACGATTATAGAGGAGATGGGGTGGCATGGTCGTTCGAAATTTTTTACGGTCAATGGTATATTCGATTCCGAGAAAATATAATTATGCATCAAATTCTGTATAAACGATCAAATTCCTAATGATAAGCATTCTCTTTATTACTTTAAATTTGTAATCTAACTTTTCACATACATAAGCTAAGCTGCATTTAGTTTCTCATAGTTAGGTCATTCTTATAACTTTTTTATTTGATTGAGCTGGCGAATCCATAGGCCAGGCGACAATGGTTTCATAAGAAATGAATTAAAAATTTCTATTTAGTTCTAAAAGGGTGAAGCATATAACAATTATTATTATTATTATTATTATTATTATTATTATTATTATTATTATTATTATCATCATTATTATTTTAACATTTGAAAAGGAAAATGCTCCGTTAGCTACGGTACATGGCAAATTATCCCAAGGGTGCCCTAAAATTCCTCCAACGAACTGTATTATGGAATCATCCTCAAATATCTCAAACAGAGTAGGCATATGCCAACCGTCAATACCTCCAAAGTTATAGACAGAACACCGTGTGGAGAGACCCAATATTGAGTGAAAAATATCGCGACTCCGATCTTTTCAATAAAATGATCACACAGTAGATCAACAAAGTTCAAAGTGATGTCTCTATCCCATTCAAGTTTACCACTACAATATCAAAGTGAAAATGATTTCAGAACATAGATATCATTTAATCTTGTCTCATGCAACATGATATAAGTTTTCTTTTCTTTGTAGATATCTTTATTGAAGCGCACACGATAGTCTAGTTTATTTTGTTACCAAATTACTACTTTTCTTTCTGGAGTCATTTGATCCATCATCTTTGTGAAAAAGATGAAGAAGTGCACCCTGCCAAAATTGAGCTTAATTACCCCACCCTTCTCCACGTTTTGGTAGAAAGATTTGTACTATACACCCAGATGTAATTTGTGAATAAAATTGTCTTTGCTTAGCTGAGGGTTCTTTTTATATTTTTTTAAATATTATATTTATATAAATATATTGAAATATTTTCTGCTATCAAATGAACCCTATGACTTTTAAAGCCCAAGCGGATCATAATTTTCTCACACAGTACATTTATCACATTAAAATGTAATAATTTTAATTACTGTACAAAAATAAGAATTCATCCGATTGGCCATCTATTATGTTCGAGTTTCAATTGATTTTTATGCTGTTTTCATGTTTCAAGACGAGTTAGAGTATTGGATGGTATTGTTTAAAAAGTGACTACAAATGTGATAAATACGTGTTTTAATCACATTAATGAACATTGTCTCATTTACTTGAAGGCACATTTCAACTCAAAAGATATTATTTCTTACATTATTAGTGAATACATGGCACGCGAATTTATTAAGTTTCCAGCAACATGACGACGATGGAGTGTCAAGGCATTGAGTTTTTAACTTCCAAGAACAAATTTTTTCATCTTTCCCTCTATAAAATCTAGTTATGTATTCAGCCCTATTTGATTTAGTTAAATATGATAAAATCCTCCTCGAATTTCTATCCTTCAATTAGGTATGGAAGTTTTATGTTTGGAATTAATGGTTTTAATGTTTATATTTGATTCTCTGCTTCTCATTTGCACTCAAATTTGTTTCTCATCATTAAGGTTTGTGTTGTAATTGTCGAGTTATAATTGAATTTGGAGCTATGTTGCCTGCATTGAGTGAAAGTAAGTGAAGTATGTAATTTGTAGTATGTATTGTACTGTTGTAAACCGTCAGTAGGCATAAGATAATGTCAGAAGAAGACGCTCAAACGCGAATTGGTAAAACTACCACCCTTGGAGCACTTGATTCCGCTCGAGTGATATTTTGAGCGAGAAAACTCTAACTTCCATCCTTTCAAAAGAAAAAAAAAGAAAAAAAAAAAAAGAATGCAAATAGTGCAACAAATGGGCTACAATTGTAGGCTGTAGCAGGGTATTAAATCATTTTCTTTAATATTATGTTTTAAACAAATTATAATTTAATTTTTGGTCCCACAATACAAACAGATTCTGCCGTTGAGTGTGCACGTGTAATGCAATTTTAGAACCTAGTAATTACTCTATTTAGTTAATGCATAATTATACTCATAGATAATTATAACTAGAATAATGTTATTCGAGTGGTGATTAGTACCGATCTATGTGGCAGTGATTTCAAAATCATGTAAATTTGTTTTAAGCGCCAAGGGAGCCGAATAACATTATTAAAAAACTTTTATATCTAAAATCAATTTTTTCAAGGAAACAACTTTTTTTTTTTTGGGTAATTAACTGTGTGGAGCATTTTTTGAGATGGACAACTGAATCTAATAGAAAACTTCTCAATACATTGCATGCATTTAACGAAATTGGGTAGCCAAGATATTATTGTGGGGAGCTCGGTGGTCGACAACGTTGACATAGGGCTAAATAAATCCTCGTAATCGGGATCCTGACTATCAAAAAGATGACTAGTATCTTAAACAGAAAAGTCAGAGGGACAGGGTTGGAGACAGGCCAAAAAACAAGGCGCCCACATGGCACCCCCCTATTGGCCTGTCTCCAACCCTGGTCAAAAAGCAAGGTTCCTCGTAATCGGGATCCTAACTATCAAAAAGATGATTAGTATCTTAAACGGAAAAGGCAGAGGGACAGAGTTGGAGACAGGCCAAAAAACAAGGGCGCCCCCCTATTGGCTTGTCTCCAACCCTGGCTAAAAAGCAGGGTTCTATCGTAAAACTAATGTTAAGATTGGCTGTTTATTTTGTGTATGTCGACATCACGTACTTTCAAATTTTAACAACACTATTAAGCAAGTCATAAAAGGTTAGACAAAAGCTCGACACAACCACGATTAAAAGTCAAGGTTTTGAAAAATTTAGGAGCTGTTCTCTTAGTGTTTGAATTTTTAATTTTGAGTTTTGAATTCATTTTGGGATTTGGATTTTAAGTGTCTGTTTTGAAATTGTTGAAATCACGTTCTTTTTGTCATTTTGAAAAAATGTTTCATAAAACTTGAAAATCCAAAACACGTTTCTTTTCCATTCATTTTCCCTTCTCCATCCAACACCGCCATCTTCTACCTCACAAACCGACCAACACCCACACCTAGACCACCAAATCCCAGCATCACTCGTTTCCCCTCACCTTTGCGGAGCCAAACTTGGGCAAAAATTTTCGCACAAGAGCTTGAAATTGCAACATTAATTCATCAAGTTCTAGGGGAGATTGGGGTTGACCTATGGCTGGACAAGGTGCGCCAGGTGAAGAGGAGTTCAACCCATGTGTTCTGCAACCATGGGTCAACCGAACGGCACTGGAATCTGCAACATTACGATTCTACTGGATGGGCTTCCTGCTGGGCCAATATTTTTGGGTTTAATTCAGATTTTTGAATTGTTGTTTGTGGTAAATTGGATCCATGGTTGGGGTCGGTTTGTGATGGGCAATCGACCAGTGGTGGTGCACGACCTTGGGTGTCGCCGGAGGTTGAGATTCCAGCAGAAGCAGTTTGCTCCAGATCAGTTTTTGAGGATAATTTTTCATCGATTTTGGCTTATGTTTGGTTTGTTGTTTGTGTGGTAATTGAAGAGGGGATTGAGGGCTTCACATTGGTATGTAAATCCGGTGGTTTTGGAGGAGGTTGGCCGGAATTTAGAGGGTCGGAAAGTGGCGCTCCATTGAGTTGGCAGAAGACACTTGGGGAAAATGGCAGGGCGTTTTCCGCATTTTCGAACTGGGTCAGTGTTTGTGAAGAAAACGCTCAAAACGTGATTATTCTCGTTTTCAATTTTCTTCACTTTTTTTTCTTTTTTTTTTTCTTTTGAAAATTTGTTTTTGAAAACGGGAAAGAGAACGCGTTTTCACCGTTTTGGAAAATCGAAAACAGAAAACTGCCAAAAAACGGTAAAGAGAACAGACCCTCAGACATTCATATACGAAGATAATAAAATATTACAATATGGTTCGAGATTGTGAAAACCTATAGTCACAATACACAAGTCTTATTAGATATCCCGAGCACATAAAGTATATTTAGAACCTAATAAAGACATGATTAAACATTATTCTCAACAAGGATTTAGTTCTTTGTCTATCATTAACTTATTATTAGTTACTCGATTAATTTTCCAATCGCCGAACAAGGTACTCTTTAAAGTTGTATAGGGCTGAATAGCTACAAAAAGTATACCATTAACATCCCCAAGTCCATTGTAATTGGGCCACCCTTCTGAATGAGCAACTACGAGGCCCATTAACAAGTTCAGAATATTTGTAGCCAAAATTTTGTTTGGGAAATAGAAGGGAGAAATGAGGTTGAAATCGGCAAATATGTATTATGGACTTAAATTCTATTTTATTTTCATTTGAATTTCTCTTTACAGTTTACACGACTATAGGAATTTTTTCCCCATCACAATCCAATTTAAAAGAAACTAAGGGGTTTCGATGCCCAAGGAATAGTCATATCCCTTTATAAAAATATTATCTTTCCATATCTAGTTATGTAAGAATTAAATTCGCACATTTTCATCAGTCTTCTCTAATACGTAGTACCACATCCTATCGGTCCCCCCTCAGTGGATGATTTATTGGTCCCTCTTCATCTAATCATGAAGGATCACAAGATCGATTAAGACCTAATTCTGCTTCCTCAAAACAAGGAGTACATCACTCATGGGTGACTCAAAGCAATTCAAGGATCTTAGACAAAATTGTTAAAAGGGGCCTTTTTGAAAACTATAATTTTAAAAAATAATGAAGTAGATGGGAATTCCATTGGTGTTGGAGATTTTAAATGAAATCAATACATGTTGATTTTTCTATCATAACTACTGACACCGATAACATTAGTGATCATAGACACACCTTTGTTAATGATTAATAATGAAAATGTCATCGATAATGTTGTCGAAAAGCATCAATCGTAGTTCAATCGCCGATAGAAAGTTGCAACTCGCTAAATTTTTCAACCTATTTTATTTATAAGTTAGTAGCAAATAATTTAAAATATCTTTTTGTTTTTATTATAATATTATCATCTCGTAATTTTTTTTATTATAAATCATTTATAAATGGTCAAAATTTATGTTCAACGACACATTTCAAAGTATCATGGATGTTTTCCATTCATTTTTATATAATTTATAAATTATTCACAAACGGGGGTCTATGCACAATCTATTAATTACCGTCATGTCTAGTCGATGTGAGATTTTGAAACAATTTTATCATTTATTTAACCCAAAAGTTATACTTCTCATACTTCGAATCACTCGGTCTTGCTATTTAAATCATTTGCAAAACTTTTAGATGAATGATTAAAAAATCCTTTCGGACAATTAATAAAACACTCACACACATAAATGTAACACATTAAATGACCCTCACAAAATTCGACTTTGATCGCTCAAGCATTCTTCTTCTATAGCAGTGTTTAACAAGGGGATGTAACAAAATTAATGTAAACATTGCTTCATTTGATCAATTTGGACACACTTAGCCATCCAATCAATAAAAATTATCCGTCGGACAAATATATATTCCGTAATATGTTTGCTGATAGCGTGACAATGAACATGGTGCAATTGAAGACACCAAGCAAAACGACGTAGCAGAGAGTAACGTGGATGTTGTCAAATGCTGTTCCTTAATTTCATTTTCACTTGACGTGATGCTGGAGAACATGTGGTCTTAAGATATTGTCACCATCGTGCTATAGAAATTCTTTGTTTATTAATTAATTTCATATTTTTTAATTATATATTTTTGGATTAAAGTAAATTAACTTTTTGAAGTTATTGCACTTCGCGAGGGGCTGATGTTGGGCAAAGACAATTATCCGAGAGTGTTATGCTCTTTAAAGTGTTTAGAGTTTGAAACTTTTCTACATGAAAATCTTTTGGGAAAAATTACTTTTAAATACACACACACACACACTAAACAAGCAATATTTTAATTATAGGTGAATATTGAATGCTTCGATTCTAGTTAATATAGTCCT